ATGTATTGATAAGCGACAGTGATGAATATTTAAAAATCATATTAACTTATTGATTGAATAATGAAGATTTATGATTGTTTTTTTTTCTCGTAGACCTCGCGCGAATACATTGTGAAAAGATCTGAGTCTAAATCGAAACATAAAAAAAGAAAAGAAATTATTTCGACGAAAAAAAACAGAAATTTGGTTTCTCACATCTTTTATTCTAAGAAGATAAAGATCTTCTTTCAATTGTGTTTTTTAAATGTAGAATCTCATCTTAACATCAACATAGATTTGTTCTATTGATTAATCGGTATTTTTCAGTATTTAACTTCACATTTAAACAAAATTTGCTATCAAGCTTTACTACAGTCATATTATAAAGATTTGAAAATCAAAATATAAATGATATCAATATTGAGTTTTATAGAAAATGAAAACTCGTCGGAAAAGGAGATTTAGTAGTAATTTGAGCTAGAGGATTACCAAAAAGTTCCAAAATTTTAAACTTATCATGGAAAATTATATTTAGATAATCCAGGAAAACAGATAGTCTTCAAGAAATTTTTCTAGTATCAGATTTGTAAAGTTTTCTTTGCCGATAATTTCGATAAATTAGTTTTTGCAGTTAGCTACACATAATCTTCAATTATATGGCTGAAGTTCTGAAACTTTTGATTGTTTCGTAGTTCATCATTATTTTATGAATTATTATTTATACATATAAATTTCATTTTCAACGAGCTTCTGTTTGATATAAAACTCAATTTTGATATGATTTTCAATCTTGTATACTTATTTTTATTGTATAATTATTTTCTTTTTCTTTTAGCTAGTTCAAGTAGTAGTTTAGAATCATTAAGTGCATCATCAACCGGTGTTCAATCATTACCAAGTTCCAATTTATTCAGTAGTCAAACACGTTCAACTTCTTTATCATCTTGTACAAGACAAGCATCATCCGAAAAATCAAGTCGTTTATCAATTACAAATAGTCCTTCATCGTCAAAATTGGAACCAACAAGTAGTGCATCTTTATCGATAAAAGCAATACGAACACCACAAACAACAAGTGTTACATCAAAAATGTTAGTAATTTGTTATAACTATCTATACAAATAGAATTTAATAATTTTTTTTTTTGTTAAGGCAAACTCGTGGTGTAACTTTATATCAATGTGTAGCTGATAATGATTCCGAATTATCGTTTAATGCAAATGAAATCGTAACACAAAGTAAAATTTTTGCAAAAAAAAAAAAATGATTCATTTTTATAGATTATTTTCATTTGTTTTAGTTCGACCATCGAAAGAACCTGGATGGGTATGTTGTTTAAAATTAAATATTAGAATAAGAATAATTTTTTATTATTATTATTTTTTTTTTGTGAAAAGGTCATGGGTACAATTAATGGTAAAACTGGGTTAATACCAGAAAATTATATAAATTTTACTGGTGGTATATGATGATATACAATTTTATTCTTATCATCTTTTTTTTCTTGTGATATCAAGTACATCAATTCGAATACATCTTCTTTATCGATCATATATATTTCATTTGTTTTTGTTTGTTTGTTTCATCTTGTAACGTGACTCTAGTCGATATGAATCACCGGCTGTATTTTTTGGTTTTGGTTTTAAAAAAGAAAATCATTTCATAAGAATGAAATTTGTTTATTTTTCTTTTGTTTATTTGTATAAGAATGAATCTTTATTTTATTTCTGTACATTGTATCAATTAATCAAACTTTGATGTGTGTGCGTTTTCTTAACCGAATGGTGCTCTATATTAAAAAAAAAAATATATATATATATATTTTTGGTGTCTATTTTGTCCATGAAGAAAAAAGAATGAATATCTTATATGATTTTTTTTTTCTTTTTGCTATAAATGATCGTATTCTTTCTGTTTTTCTATTGTATTATTACTCGCAGTTATATGTATATTTCTTTTTGCGTGTGTGTATTGATTAGCTGCACGAGTTTTTTTTTCTTGATTTGTTCAATTTTTTTTTTTTGGTCTGTCTATAAAAGAAAATATTTGTATGGTGCTAAATATGATTCTGTAAGAATTGAACAATTAAAGGTCATCTCATATTTGCATAAGAAATATCTCGAGAAGGCTTTTTTTTTTGGTTGACTTCTTCGAGTCTATATGCAAAGGTAATTTATGTAATATTTGATCAGTTATTTATTTTGAGTAAATTTAACTCAGAAACCTTGTCATATAGCACTTTCTATATTGAATAGAAATAATATTGGTTAGATGTTTTTTTTTAAGAAGTACATTCATTTGTTTTATTTCAAGAGCCAGCCTATCAGGGATATTAGTAATATTCACAGAGCTGCTGATGCATGCGGAAACTGAAAGGTACCTGTGAGTTGCCGGCAGCCAAATTATCTTGTTCTTGGACAAACTATTTGTCATCGGGAAGTTAAACTGCAATGACTAACGAAAAAAAGAGAAAAAAAAATTCGTTTTAAGAACTATATTAACTTCAATACGAATAGTTTTTGTTTATTTGGAAGAATATTCCATATATTTCTGAGATTGATAAAATTCCAACCATTGTTATGATATATTTCGAATTAATTTATAATATAAAATGCTTGACATACTGCAAGATTTATGTGGGATAAAAAATGAGATCGAGTTACATATCTATTAGCTAAGGTCAATGTCAACTAAACTATTTGTTGATGGTTCATAGATGCTTGTTTAGTTCTTCTGCTATTGATGATAATGACATTATATTAATCTTTTTCTTATGATTGTTTCTTAGATAACATTAGCTATTACTTTCTATCTTATGATAGATAAATGAAGCATTTTATTTATAAAGACGAAGAAAGAAACATAGTGAATCTTTATTTGTCTTGAATAATATATTTAATATTGCGTAAAAACTAAATTTTATGTCTTTTTTTTTTTTTTTTATAAATTTATATACGTATTGATAATTTTTTCACATGCTAATTCATACATCGATGAACACACACATGTATATATCATGACACTTATTTCCTCTTTCTATGACCTTATAATAACAACTATGCAATAGAAGATAAACATATTAGTTTTAAAGATAAGTAAATATGATATTTTCTAATGATACTTCAGCAGACATACTTTACTTGTAATATAGATATTGATTAATATTACTTTTTTCGCAATCAATCGTACATTATCTATATTTTAATGAGGAAAAAAAAATAAGGCAGATGTAGAACAGATAATAAAATTTTGATTTATCATTTAACAATCATTCTAATAACAAATTGAATTGATTTGTACGATAATAAATATTATATATTTATTAACAATCAATGTACTTTTAATATCTCTTTGTTAATCTTTATTTTATATCTAAAAGTTTGTTCATGTATTTTGAAATTTTTTTCTATTTTGTTTTCATCAATCAGAAAACTTCATCGTTTATCGATTACTTTTTTTTTTCTTTCAATTTATTCATCACCTTTCTCTTTCAAGATTTTGTCAATATGTATATTAACATGATTCATTTTTAATTGTGTTAAATAAACAAAACAAAAAAAAAATATATATTTTTTTTTGTTTCTAAAAACCATTTACAACATAATGATGCAAAGAAAGTTGTTCAGCTGTTGGTCGATATTTTGGTCGAACACGTAAACATTGTTTCATTGCATCATAAACACCTGCAGAAACCTTTGTATCAATTGGAAGATCATGATTTAAATGTTTTAAATAATAGATCTTTTCAAAATTGCTATTCAATGCATATAATGGACGAAAACCAGTTGCCATTTCATGAAGAAGAATACCTAATGACCATATATCACTTTTATAACCATATTTAGGTGGCAAACCTGATGGTGCTTTATGCATTTCTGGTGCACTATAATCAGGTGTTCCAGCCCATATACGTCGTTTAGATGTTACCATACGAGGTAATGTAAATGAAACTCCTATAATTTAGTAGATACAAAAACAAAACAAAAAAAATAACACTTAACAGTAATATGAAAATTTAATTTAACCTAAATCAATAATACGTATTTGTCCATCTGGTAAAACAATAATATTTTCTGGTTTAAGATCTGAATGTACAATACGTGCACGATGTAAATATTTTATACCATCAATAAGTTGACGCCAAAAATTATGTACAATTTGTGGTGATAATTGTGGTGTAGGTGAATTAGGATATTTAGGTATATAATAACGAAGTGGTGTACCTTGTTCCATAGCAATAACACCGGACTGTTTTATATCATAATCAAATATACGTATAATATATGGATTAATTGATTGTAAACGTAATAAATATTGAAGTTCTTTTTGAAAACTTTGTCGACGTGATATTGTTGATGCTCTTACAGTAACATTTTGATGTTCTAAATCAATGATTTTCAAAGCTAAGGATTGTTTTGTGACTGTATTATGTGCTGAATAGACTTTTGAATGAAGACCAAAACCAAGCATGCCATCAATTTGATATAATCCATGTCGTAATTGTAAATGACGTCCTGGTAACATAACGTCACCCATAATAAGTTCTTTTTTTTTTCTACTTCTTTTTCTATCAACAATATTTCGATAGTTGCTCTGTCATTCGAACCTATTATACACTATTAAGAACAACGGCTTCGTCTATCATGCATACAAATATAAACGCAATGAAATAAATGAAAAGGTGAGAGGGAGTATTGCGGTTAGCTCGCGCATGTACATACGTATGAAGAAAAAAAGATAGTAGGAGAGCAATACTGGACAAAGGAAGAAATGTAGGAGCTGAACAATCATCAATTGAAGTTTTTTTTATATGAATGTGCAATTCTTCCTTCACATATATTGCATCATACTCAGGTACATATAGATATATTGAGCATATATATATATATCGATCTGTGACGAGTCAGTTAGTTATCGTACAAAGATAGGCCATTTGAAATAACGAGAATATAACTTTAAAAAACAATAAAGAGAAAAGTAAATGAAAAATGACAAAAAAGAAAAGTTTTTATCTAATTTTTTTAACGTTTTCCTGACAAATATCGATGATTTAATAATTGTTCGGTAGTTGGACGTCGACGATGATTTGAACGTAAACAACGTTTAAGAATATCTCGTAGATTTTTATCAGGATGATCAGGTATGCTTATATCTCTTTGTAATCGTCCTAAAAATCTTAATTTAGTTTGATTACCACCTAAACCATGTAAAGGTCGATAACCGAATGCCATTTCAAATAGTATAATACCAAGCGCCCATACATCAGCTTTATAACCAAATTTTGATTGAGCACTTACGCCAACTCGAGAATTAATCATTTCTGGAGATACATAATCTATTTTGAAAAAAAAAGAAAACAAAAACAAATTTGTTTTTAATTTTATTGATTCATATTTATGAGAATTTACCTGGTGTTCCAGCAGCTGTACGTAAATGACTTGTGACATTTGGTGGTAATTGAAAACTTATACCCATATCAATAAGTCTTAATGATGTTCCATCTGGACCAACTTGAATAAAATTTTCAGGTTTACAATCACCATGTACAATTCGAATTCGATGTAAATAATAAATAGCTTCAACCATTTGTGACCAAAATCTATGAATAAGATGTGATGGCATTGGTGTTCTAGATAAAACATATTCAAGTAAAGTATCACGAAATGTTTTACCACGTTCCATAACAATTATTCCATATAGATCATTATAATCATGATTAAATATACGAATAACATACGGATTAAATGATTGTAAATATAAAAGCATCTCAATTTCTTTCCAAAATAATTGTTGACCAAATTCTGTTTCAGCAATGGAATTTAATAATCCACGAGCAAAATTTATTATTTTAATAGCTACTGGTTTATCAGTATCTAGATCATAACCACCATAAACAGTACTATGAAGACCCTGACCAATTTCTTCTTCAAGTATATAAGGAACACCACGTACAACAATACTATTACCAAACATTATTGAACAATTTTAAAATAATTTTACTTTCAATACCTAACTATTTTTTACTAGAGCATGCAAAACATAATGATTGCAACAGACGTTTATAGATAGTCAAATGTACATGCACTTCAAAAGATAAATGCATAAAAACCTTCAAGTCACAAGGTAGTTGGACTCTAAATGAGTATGAAGGAAGGTTAAATGAAACAGTTTATAAGGATGTATGCATATTTTCATGGCGTTACGCATAAATATTCACTATTGGTTTATTTCATGCTTGTTCTCCCATTTTCATTTATGCCGCAATGAGAAGACTCATTTTCATAAACAACAAGGTTCTCTCCATAGACTGGTTCTTTTTTTTTTTTACATCATTTTTTCTTAACTGATATAGTAGTTTTCAATCATAATAATTGAAACTTTATATAAAACTTATCCAATAGATCTTCACTGAATGAAATCGTGTTCGATATTAATGATACGACACATTTCTCTATTACGAATCAATTTATCATTTATAATAAGATGTCTATACATGTCTATGTATAGACATACATAGAGAATTCAAAAAAAGTTTTAAAGTTGATTTTATCTAAAAGCAACAAGAAATGTTGTATTATTATTTGAATTTGCATATAGTTCATATATTCTATATTATAAATCTTGATGTATCATATATACGTATGAAAATATAGTAACAAATGTTAGAATATTTGATGTCCGTTGATTGAAAATTGAAAACTGAAAGGAAACATTATTTTTGGAAGGATAGATTGTCATTGAATATCAATTAATGCATAGCGTCAATTTATATTGATGACACTATTTTTATACACTATGCTTTTTGAATGGGCTCATCAATCTAAATATGAATAATTAGTCATTGATTACTATTTTGTACTAGATATGAATGACATGGTGCTGAACTGACTTTAATGACTGTAACATTTCATACGAAACAAATAATGTTATAATCATATGTAATTGATCATATAAAATACTATCAAAACTGTACATTTGAAATTTGAGTCATATTTGTTATTTTCTAATTTGTGAATTGATTATTTTGAATCTTTTGATTTGTCATAATTTTTTATAGGTAAATTATTCATATCTAGATTTATTATCAATGTATGATTATTTATTTTTAAAATAACGATTCTATTCAGAAAACTTCATTAAGTAATGAAGTATTACTCATTTTAAATTGTCATTATACTGTTCTAAGTATTACATAAGACATGACCTTCCACAAAAAGAAATTTTATCACTGAATGATACTGGAATTTTCTGTCAATATATATCGAATGATATGAAAATGTATTGCTACACGTCTATTCAAAAGTTTAACATAACAGAACTTATGATATCTATGAATAGAGAACTTGATGAACTATGAATGGACATTAATACTGAAAGAACAACGAATCTTATCTTTTTTAAAAATGGTTTAAGAACTTTTCAATGCTTCAAGGATAAATATATATATGGGCGTGCTTCACTCTAGGATGCCCCAATTTTCTTTCTTTCTATTATCAGTTAAAAAACCTAACAAATGTTCGGACCAAATTATTACCCTCATCGTTAAACTACTAAATTTAAAATATTAGCTGCTGATGCCTGTCTTGTATGAAATTATTCAGTTCCTGAAATCGTGACCTATCATTTTTTTAAGAGACTGAATAATTTCATATAAGACGACAATCAGCAGCTAATATTTTAAATATATTAGTTTAAAGATGAGGACGATAATTTGGCTCGAATATGGTTAGACTTTTTAATTGATAATGGAAAGAAAGCAAATTGGGGCATCCTACGGTTAAGTACGCCCATATTATAAGTGTGCAAGTTTATTTTGCTTTAAAAATAAATATTGATATAAACGAGAAAATATTTGAATATTTCACAGACAAACTCCTTGTAATTGATTGATCAAAATCATATATTTACATGAATACCAATTCTTTTATGTTAAATAATTTCGATCATCTTTTCTTAATCAATATTCTCGATTTCTTATTGTATTGTTCTTGTACAAAATACATATATATATATATATATATTTAACACTAGAGGAACAATCGAATGGGCGGATATTAATGATTCTATTAAAGCTTTGAAAAGATATTGTAGTTGAATACCACCTTTTGTTCATATATATGGAATTTTTTTTTAAATGGTTATTCATTCATTGACATACACACAAACAATAAGCTCTTTTAAAAATATATATACATTTATAATAAAGTTCAACTCATCATATCGCCACGTTTTGGTTTATCATTAACTAAAATTAAAGTAAATCAATTTAGGATGTTCATAAAGTTTTCAAAATATAGTATATACCTTTCCATAAATCACAGAATTCTCCATACGTATCTTCTGGACAAATACAATTGCCTGTAGTTCGATGACATATACCGAGACCACATGGTTTACACATATGCTCGCACATCCTTCCCCAACGATAGGGTGGACAGGGAAAATCAAAATCGTTTCTTATTAATGTACTAGTCGTTGTTGTTGTTGTTAAAATATCAAGTGATGATCGTCTTAATAACAGTGCGAATGGTTTAGAAGTCATTGAACGAGATAAAATCACTGTAGCAGTTGTTGTTGGTAGCGTTGTTACTGTTGTTGTTGTTGTGTTTGACATATTCATTAAACCATAATGATTGTTTACAGTAGTATTAATAATAACAGGACGAATAAGTTTATTTAATAAAAAAATTCCGAGACCAATAAGTAATAATAAAAGAAGTGAAATAATACATGCACATATGGCTAAATTTTTATTTTCCAAATAAAAAAGAACAGGTGATGTACTACTATGAGTAGTACTACTTGTTGAACAATTTTCATCATTATGCTCATCTTTAGCATGATCATAAAAGTTCTCATTGGAATGTGGAAGATCATTTAAACTACTTTTAACAATATCAATTGGTTTTGAAGGATACTAAAAACAAAACAACAACAACAATAATAACAATAAAATCAATATTTAGAAAGAAAAATAAGAAGAACAACAATAACTGCTTATTATTAATCTCATACTAAACTTACTTTTTCAAAATACTGAATTGGATTATCATAAGTATTTGCAAATGTATTATCATAATGTTCACTACTATTAATATACGATGATGACGTAGCTGATCCAACATCACCAGCTATGGTTACATCATATAAAAGATTTTCACATATATTTATAGGTGGAAATGTTTTTAAATAGGAACGAAATGGTCGATTTACAATTGATGAACGTGCTGTTGCTGTTGCTGTTGCTGTTGCTGTTGCTGCTGTTGTTGTCGTACGGGCATAAATTCGATTGCTATATAATGTTTGATGAGGAGAACGAATATCAAACGGTGTTGTTGCATGTGTTGTCATTTGTGTGTGGTTGAATGAATGCTTTGTATACTGTTAAAAAAAAAATAGGAGAAAAGAGAAAAGATGGCGAGTTCAAACTACGAAATGAAATTGAAACGATTATGTAATTTTGACGTGTTTTAGGTTTTATACGTAGAACGACAGTAGATGATGAATAATAGTACCTTGAATAGACGTATAGTAACTGTAGAAATAAGAAAAAAAAATTGAAGTGAACTATTTGACCAGCAGCGAAAATTTACAGTTTTTGATCATCTTCTTATTCTCGTAAAATGGGTTATATGTATTAAATTGCCTATATTTTATGTATGTATAGCATAGCAAAAATGTATGTGAATATGTGTATGCTCTCCCTTTCTCTGTCTCTGTCTCTGTCTGTCTCTCTTTCTCTTGCGTCTTTACTTCATTTTTTATTTAAACCTTTTCTCTTGTGTTACTATTTTTCATACAAAAGAAAACAACATATGAAGTAGACTTTATATGCTTTTTAAAAATTGAACAACGTTGTCTGTCTATCTTGAAATTCGTACTAACACTTGACTGGACAGATGCCTAGAATATTCATTTCTAACTATCAAGTGTTAATAAAGCTTTATATGCATGTATATATACAAGATGCCTTACTATGTTCAAATCGAAGAAGCAGAAAAGAAAATGAAGAAGAAGGACGAAGGAGACTAATAAGTATAATCGCATGAAAGATATTTACAGTTCCGATTAAATATTCTAGATGTTTGTTTAACTATGGCTTCGAAAGGAAACAAAATGTCTTTCAAGGAGAATATTTATTTTAAGATAGACGAAGTGACTATGTCCACAATGAACGATGGCACTTTTTTCTTTTATTCTCGTCTTGTTAATTTTAAGCACACATACAATCGTCTTCGACCCACACGTAACTAATGTATTGTTACAGGAAAGTGTATGTTACATGACGATAGTGTCGGTGATGGTAGTGACGATGACGCGACGATGTATTCTTGATAAATAAGACTCAAATGTTCTTTAAATTTCTTTTGTTTGACAATACTTCATAATGATGGTAGTATGCACTTTTTTTTTCGCTTTTTTTCTCATGCTTCTTCCACTATACCTGCCATTTCGAATAGATTCGATCACAAAATGAATAAGAACATGGTAGACCCTAGGGTATCCTGGTATGTATATATGTATACCTTGAACTCGCTTGTATAGCAGAGCTTCAGGTCCACCCGTTGTCATTCGCGCATTGATTTATATTTTAAAAGGCACATGTGATGTAGGCGTAATCCTTTTACAAATGAGTTTTTTCTCTTCGCTTCTCTTTTTTTAATGACAATGGTATAAAGAAGAACAAAACCTACCATTCACTCACATGTACCGCGATGATAATCTACAATTAAACGTGAACAAACGCCTTCAACTGTATACACGTATATAGATATGTATATACGTATACATATAAGGATACTTTTACGCGTGCGTTCGCGTGTCGTGATATGTTAATACTATATGACACACATATACATAGCTTGATAAAAGGGATAGTTGATGATTATGATTCAGATGAAGAGAAGAAAGAAAAAAAACTCCATTAAACTTTTTATGAATATGAGTAAACGACAAGAGTCAATCTTCTCTGATCACTTCTAAAATTCTATTAATGATTCTAATCCTAAACATACACACATGCATATGTTTAGTGACTGATAAAAGAAATGTTTGTTACAATTGAGCAAGTTTAGTATTTTACCGCAATGACCTATTGTCATCTCATGATGTGATATAAATAATTATTATTTTATTTTTGTCTATGATCATAAGTTTCGAAAAAAAAATCAATCATTTTTGATTGTCCAATGAAATATGAATAGTTGCATTGATTTATATCAAGTTGAATCAATTATTCCTTTATATACTTGTAAGGTTTCATGAACAATAACTTTATCAAGTAGAGATTATAATAAATGACTCTTTGAATGTGATGGAGAGAGATCATACTTGTTTTATTTTTTTAGGCTTTATTCTATATAGAACCAAAAAAAATCTTGTTATTTTTATATTTATTTCCAACAAAATAGAAAAGATTCTTATTTCGATTTTGTACATTAATTAAAAAAAAAAAAGAAATCTTCCAATTAACTAATGAAAATTACTTTGTTTTTCTAATCGTATTGATCAATATAATCCATTGTTCATTATTTTCTATTCAATTAATTCTCGGAATTTCCAAAGTTAAATTATACTGTACATCAATTCATTCTTTTATGTAATATGAGTAACAATTGGATTAACTAAATTTTTGTACTACTGTATATTATAATGGTAAAATTACGTAAAACTCTTAAAATATATAATGAGGATATTGACGTCATTTGAAATGACATCATGCGACAATCAGTTTTGAATAAAGCTAATAAAAAGTTAAGTCATTGAATAAGATCATATTTTTTTGTTAAAATAAAACTAATAAAATTGGAAATCTTATTTAAACCCATTCAATGGAACGAATATTGAATTTCGCTTCATAAGTAATCAGTGTTTTATCTGGCATAGAAATTGGAAGACGAAAGCAGGATTGACTCTTCTTGAATTCGTAGCTATTGTATCATGTGCTAAATGTCTGTACTTGCAAAACTAGATATTCATCCTCCTGCAGTTTTAAATTGCCCCATAGAAAGTAAAAACCTGGACAAAGCATAGCAAACAATGAATCTTTTTCGGAGAAAACTGTTCGTAAATGAATTCAACTATTTTATAATGAATGTTAATGTGACATCATCAAGATTATCAAGAGTCATGATCGAAAAAATATAAGCTCAATAATCTGATTTTAACGATCATTTTGTTTAGTAAATCTTATGGTTATATCGATTTAGATCAAATGATGACTATATACGTCATCTATTGTAATCAATCATTATTAATAAGAACAGTATCAAAGAAATAATTGTCATAACATTACATCATTAATAGCGTATTTTTGAAATGAGAGAAACATTATTCAATGTTGATAAATAAAATAAGATAACATCATAATCATTCGTACTATTTATAAAAAATAGTAAAAAGTAATAAGTAAAATAATGAAAAATTGTGTATCAATAACTTATGATTGATTTTTTTTTTCGATAATTTTAAGCACCTAGCTCAAACTGAAATAGTAATTTTAATAACCGATGGATTTTGTTATGCTATGAATTCCATACCAAAATTTTGATAGATGAATAATGATGGCAAGATTTCTAAGAAAAAAAAAAACAGGCACAATCTTTTTCAGATTTCAGAAGACTTTGTCAGGTCTATTTTTTAACAATGTGCTTTTAACGAGCACAAAATGAGGATTTGCTGCATTTTCTATGAGCTTTCCTCAAAAAGTTACAGGTATTACAACAGCTACAGAAAAAAAAACAAAATTTATCAAAAAAACCAACAAAAAACTGCCTTTTTTCGGCTTTCGTGATACTTTTAACCTATCAAGATAAAGTTGTAGAAAATATGACAAACTTTTATTTGTGCTCTTTACAATCGCATCGTGAAAAAAAATAGCTCCGCTAAGTCTTTTACAAACTGAAAACTATCATGTTCAGTTTTTTAGAAATCTTTTCAATCATAGTTCATCTATGATATCTTGCTATAGAGTGTATTAGGTAGAAAACGTCATTGGCTATTAAAATTAGTACGTGCATTTGAACTAACTGCTTAACATAATAGAAGAAGTATTTTAAAAAAAAAAATACGTTGTTATTAAACATTTTTCTACCATCTTATACGGAAGTAATTAGAAATAATTTTTAAATGAATGATTTCAATAGAAAAAATGTGAATTAAAAATCTTTGCATGAACAATATTGATTATTTTGATAATTATCATACATAGAACAAAATCAAATATACTGCTAAAAAAAAAAATCTTGTTTGAGTATTAATGCAGAAAGAAAAAATAAAAATAATAATTATCATTAACTTTTGTAGACATGAAGATTTTTATTTGTATAATTGTAAGAAAAATGATTCAATAGTAAACTTCTTTTTTTTTTGGGAAACTATTTTACATAGAACGTTGATCAGAATGTTTATTATCGTATGGAAATGCATTGTAAACTATTTTTTGTTAATCTCATTATATGATAAACTGAATGCACTTCCGAAAATATTCTTCTTGATAAAGATAAATACTTTTCTTTCCTCATGACTAGAAAAAGGCTTTCAATAATAGTGCGTAAATATTATTTGATCAAAATTTTCCATTAAAATTATTAGCTTAAAAAGCATTATTCGTTATTAAAATAAAGTCATGAATTTACATTTTTCTATTAACAAGAAACTCATGTTTCTAACTTATTAAAGAACGGAACTTAAAAGTCATTTGGGATAGTTTTATCTTATTCATAGTGCATATTAGTAATCAAATGAAATGTTTGCAAGAACTTTCATTGAATTTAATTAATTAGAAAATAGAATTCTTTTTATGTAGAAATTCTTTTTTTCCAAATTCATTAAAAATTAGAACATTATTATATTATACGGCTGTCATTTCTCAATATTAAATTGGTCTTTTTCTCTTTTCTATCATACTGTGTGACATCTAGTTAAATCTAGTTTCATTGCATTAAGCTTCAAGACATTATCAGATGTCGTAGGTAATCAAGAAAACTGAAGAATATCATAGAATAAATCGCTACTTTCAATGTAAATCTATACAAAAACTCTAGCGACAGTCGGTTATTCTAGTCCAAATTTACTCTATCCTTGTCTCGAGAAAGAAAAAAAAGAGTCGAGTTATAATTCTCACCTTGGATCTTTTCTTTTTTTTTTTTTGCATTCATTTTTGTTTTATAAATTAAATTTTAATATTTAGATTTATTTTTTTATCTAATCTGTGATAATACATGGCTAATAATAATAAAAGTTTATTATTAACATATATATTTTCATTAATTGGTGGTCTTTATGGTTTACATCATCTTTATTTAGGCCGTACTCAACATGCTTTATTATGGCTCACAACATTTGGTGGTTTTGGTATTGGATTTATTTATGAATTATTATTTTTAATTAAAACTTATGTTTATGAAGCAAATCATGATTATATAATACTCAATGAATATAGATTAAAAATGATAGAAAAAAAATCACCTAATTTTGAAATTTCAAGATTATGTGGTAAGAAAAAAGAAGATAAAACGAGAAATGACTATTATTCAAATTTGAGCATAATATTTTGAATAATTTAAAAACTTTTAAAATAATCAAAATTGAATTAACTAAAAAATCTATTAGCGAAACATTAAAATATTCAATTATTGTTTCAATGCGGTCGAGGATAGATACAAATATATATGTTACGATCAAAATTGGAATTCCGGTCAAATTCTAAATTTGTTCGGAATTCTAATTTTGACTAGACAAAATCAGAATTTTATTTTCATGAACTGTAAAACTAAGAAAAAAAAAATAACGATACGAATACGAGTGAAATCAAAAATGATGGTGATGACGAGAGACAGATCTGAATAAGAGTGAGGAGGTCTGCATCTATATCTCAAAGTTGCGAGTGAAATTAGACGGGATAATCGCGTAAAACCTTAGTCATACTCAAAAATTCATCCTTACTAAGAAAATTTTCACCCTCACCAAGGCTACTCACGGCACTCTCACTCAAAACCTTCTTCCTGACTCTCATCATCATCATCATCCTTGACCTTATTCGTGTTTTTGGTATTGATTTTTGCTTAGTTTTATAATTCATCAAAACAAAATTCTAATTTTGGCCAGTCAAAATTAGAATTCCAATTTTGACTGTAACATATATATATAACTTATATGCAAGTACTTTTTTTTTATTATTGTTTGTTTTTTCTTTGTATTCTTAAGGACAATATCTTACAGCTGTTTTTTATGGTTTTATTACTTACTATGCGTTTCCTGAGAAATGGCATGAAAACGTTTTTTTATCATTATTTATTGGATGTTGTAGTACCATTGCTATTGCACTTGGTAAGAAAATCAAACATTGATTAATAATGAAATTTTATTTTTAATTTTGATTTTCATAGGTACACAAATAGTAGGTACACTTGGACCACGACAATGTTCATTTATTTGGCCATTATTAGGTGCAATATGTGGTATGCCTTTTTTAATATGGCATATTAATTTCGTACCATCATTTAATATCGCAGCATTTTTTTCTTGTTGGATTTTCACATGGAAAGTTCAATGGAATCGAGAATATTTTTCAAATAATTTTATATTAAAATCAACTGAACAACAATTTTCAATTTCATCAAAACAAATAAAACGAAAACGATGTCATATTATTAAAAATTGTCTTATATTTGGATTGGGTATAATGATATTTAGTGCAATATTTACATCGGCTATTTATCAAAATTTACAAGTTGATGTAAAAGGTCAACGTATTAAACTGAAAGATGTTTTAAATGATTTTTTTAAATCACAAGAATTTATATTAATGCGTGAAAAATTAGTAATTTTTATCAGACGATTATGGGTGTTTTATTTGCATTATGGTTTTAAAGGTTTATGGATGATATTTGGTTTTGAAAACACTGAAAAACAAGCATTGGAGGTAGAATAAGAGAGATAAAAATTTTCTATACACAAGAGCAATCATTTTGAAACTCTAGACGAATCATTTCAAGCTTTGGGAAATCTTAGAAAATTATTATCTGTAGAAAATATTTCTTTTCTAGTAGTAAAATCTACAAGCTGTTTATTCTATTTATCTTTCATTTTCTTGGAATATACGAGTGAAAAAAAGAATCGGACTTTTCTGTTATTTTGATAATAGGAGAAAGTTTTTTAAGAATTTATTTCTTTTTAAAGAAATGTTTTGTTTTAAAAGCACATTCTGTATGTCTGATCATGAAAAGTCATCAGTAGTAGAAAAACATCACTTATTATGATTGTTAATGAAATTGTAAAGAGGAAATCTGAGTTCATACGTTTATGTATGTGGATATCTGAGAAAAATTACAAAGTCTTTTTCGTCAATAAATATTATGATAGAAATAAAAAATTTAGATAAATCTTGTTTATTTGGATTTTCATCTTATCATTCTTTTGTACAATAAAAAGAAATACTATGATGTAAAATATATTGATAGAAAAGGTTGAATATCTCTAACGGTCGATATATAATCAACTGATCAAAATATTTTTCAGGACACTTTCCAATAAACTAAAGATTTACGATAATTCGATAGAGACTTTCTTTATGTCACAAAACGATTGACTTTCTTTTTAACCCTTGCGTGCCAAGGTTATTTTCTATAAGAAAATCGAGCGTATCTAATGAGAAAGTGCCTCTTATTACAATTGATAAAAGAGCTTGAGCATCTGGAAGTTAAAGTGGTCTTGTCTATTACTGGAAGTCCTATACAGTCAATGGGCTTCATCATTGATAATATAGTTTTCATTAGAAGTATTTCAATATATGATAGATCTCAAAGTAGGACGATATGCATAACCCAATATTACATTTCCTGCGCTTATACCTCGTTTTTGTTTTCTACTTTGGACTAAGGATCGTGTGGTTGCAAATGAAGCAAGGTCTTCAGCCATCCATGAAGCTTTTCGCGTTTGATGAAAAGTGTCGCGCAGTCAGGCGCATAGGGGTCTCTGTTAGTTATCCTCTAGGACGATCCGATTTATGAATGTCGAAGTCTTTCAGAAGCTACCGAATCATTTTCAGTCGAAAGCCAGAAAGACAATATTCTCTTCGATTTGCAGTTTGTACAGCACGCAAACAATGAAGAGCAAGATATCGAATAAATGGAAGCATAAAACTGAACTTCAAATACACTTTGATACGTGTATCAGAAGGAAAATGGTACCGTCCCATATATGGGACACCCGGCGCGAACGAGTTAAAATATTTTTTTTTCTAATCGACATACAATTGAACAGCTTAACACATAGTCAATCGTTCAAATTGTGATGGTGAAGGAAAGCAAAAAAAAAGAACAGCACGAAACAACTCTTCTCAGTAGTATATCGTAAATTTTAGATGTAACAAAACGTTCTTCGTAAAATTCTACATCTTTCAATATATGTTAGAAAAAAATTCAAAGTAAAAACTCTAAAGTTTTCATTGTTCAATTTTACAGTCATACCATTTCGTTCAGAATTAAATTTTACATTCAATAGTATGAAGATAAATGTTTCATGTGTCTAGTCTACCGTCTTAAAACACATGATTTTCCAAAGAATATGTAAAAACACTACCTAGTATTAATTTCAAGTCTTTTTTTCCGGAACAATAACATTTGTAGCCTTGAAAAGAATGTGACAGCACAAGGTACAATATTCTTAATCTATTATATGTTTGATATTTTATTTTCAATATCAGATGTTAGGAACACATGCTTTGGTAGATAGATAGATATTTTCGTAAAACAGGAGAAGTTAATTTGACAATTGAGTAGGTGATAATCATTTATATTTCATACTGATAAGAAAAGAAAATTAAAAAAACAAAACATAGTCAATAGTTTTCTATGGCAAACAAATTCATTATTGAATGAACTTAAAATCAATGAAATAAATCGTTTGCAAACTAAGTTACTATATTTTTTTATTATTTTTATAATAAATCTTTTTCATGATTTGTTCTTTTGCTACTTTTTAGGTACTTAATCTCAGTAATGTTGCTTCTCAAAAAGATATTGAATCTCAATGTCGAACATTATCACGTAAATGGCATCCTGATAAATATCAAGTATATATATATTTTTCTATGAAATTATTCAAATACTTAGATAATTCTCATTATTTATTTTTAGGATCCTGAACAAAAACAAAAAGCTCAAGTTACATTTATGAATATACAGCAAGCATGTGATCGTTTATCTAATGAACGTAAACGACGTCAGTTAATTAAAACACAAAAATATACAAATACAAATTGACATGATAATATTGTTTTCAAATATTTTTAGCATTTATTTCATATGAGCAGATCTTTTATTTTTTAAATTTTAGTCAAAAACAAATTTGCTTTTTTTTGTGATATTATTCAAAAAAGAAGATTGTGAATGATAAAGTTTTTCTTTCTTTTATTGTGACTGTGATATCGATAAAATCATTATTCTTTAATATTTCATTTATTTTTAGATATAGATTGATCTTTATTATCAATGTTTCGGTTAATTATTATCTAATTATTCGATACAATAAAAACAGGAAAAAAAAGAATAACTAAGACATTATTTTTTTTAAAATTACTTTTCTCTCCTATCTTCCTATTCCAAGCAATTCAATGTCTGTTGCAATCGATTCCGTTAAGGTTTATATTAACCAATTTATTCATAATTTTGACTATGTCGATGCTATTTTTCTTGCTGAACGTCTTTATGCGGAAGGTAAAAAATAAGAATTATATAATTGCAAGCTAATGTTTTCTTTTTTCTTATTTATTTATTTTTTGGTTTAGTAAAAAATGATGAATCAACTTATTTATTAGCACGTACTTATTATTTAAGTGGGGATGTGAATAAATCTTATTGGTTATTACGAAATTCTTCTATTGAACATTTACCTACTGCAAAACTTCTTTTAGCAAAATGTTGCTTTGATATGGATAAGTAAGTGCAAGAAGACATAAAACAAAAACAAGAAATATATTATAATGTTTTCATGTTAGACTTCATGAAGCTGAATCAATACTTGTTGGAAATTGTTTATCTATAAATACACTTGTACTTGATGATTTTGTTAATGGTCATGGTGATCAAGCAGCATTTGCTTTACAGCTACTTGCTAAAGTTTGCGAGTATGTTTCAATAAATATTAAGAAATTTTTTTAATAGTTTTTGATTGTTGTTTTTTTTTTTCTTATTGTATAGAAAATCTGATCGTCATCAAAAAGCAAGCGAATGTTATCGAAAATCCTTAAAACTTAATCCATTTCTATGGTCTTCTTTTGAAGCTCTATGTCGTCTAGGTAAGTATTTAAAAAAAAATAAAGAATTTTACGACTATAGCTAATTATAGATTTTATAATAATAAATATAATGTTTTGTCCAGATTTTCTCTTCGAGAAGGGCAATTTAAGATCTTCTCTCAAAAGTGTATCTTAGCCTAAAGACATTCAAATCATATGAAAGATTCAGAATTTATGATAAAGTTTTTTAGTCTTATATCATGACACCGACAGGAAATATTCAACTAACGAGAATCAAAACTAGCTCATGTTTCAACCTAGAATTCTCTGTAGATTTTCATCCTACATCCTTAATTGCTTTTTATTTGAAACAGCATGTCATGAAGTAAGGCATGGCAGAGATTCTTTCTTTAAGACAAGAAACGGGATGAAAAACTCAATATTTCAAAAAACTCTCGAAAAACAGCGCTATAAGGATAAAAGTACTCTTTATATAATAGTAGCAATGCTTAATTCAAAAAAGAAACTTTGTCATGTCTTATATTTTTGACGTGTTCTTTCAAACAAAAGAAAATTTAAGGAGCCCGTAGATAATTCTGCATTGTGCGATCAAAAAAGAGCATATATTTCGAGCAGAAAATGACAGAAACCATCGAAAATTTTGCCAAAAAAACAAAATATTCAATGGGAAACTATATCTACTTGACTAGTGGCTTAAAAGTTTAACAAAGCGAAAACTTATTTTTGAGAACACAAACAAACTTATCATTATTTCATTTTTTTCATTATTTTTATCTCAATTTCATATATTTAATTATAGGTGAACGTGTTGATACAAGTATATTTTGTTCATCTACTATAAAATCTAATCGATCAATCTCAGAATTAAATCAACCACATACATGTGTCACACCTTATATGGAACAAATAAAAGATATTCAAAGTGAAAATCAAGTTATTGATAATGTTTGTTCAAAACAAAAGAATTTCTTATTTTCTTTCATTAAGCATATTATTTTCCTTTTTTTTTATTTAGTCAATGAATACAAGTACAAATCAAACAATACGAGAACGACAACAACCACGTTCATTACAAGCACCAGCAACTGTTATGAAATTAACTGATTCTATTCTTAATGTTGGTCCAACAAATGTTTCCGCTATAATAACATCAACACCAATAGGTTTAATTACGGATCAATTACAAGATAATGATAAATATACTCCACCGACTATAAAACCACCTGATTATATTCCATCGTTACGTAACCCACCATTAGCTCCTAAACGACAAAATACTCGAAATGTGTAAGATAAACGAAACAAAAAAAAAACAAATTACATTTTTCTGTTTAATGTTATTATTTATCTTTTCTTTTTTTTCTAGACAACAATATGGATTTGATGACACAACGGCTTCCGGATCAACAGCAACACTTATACATCCACATGAACTTGCGTCAACATCACTTAGTGATACACGTAAAACTATTGGTACACGAAAAGTAAGTTTTACAATTTGTTTCGATTTCTTCTACTATTCGAACTAATACTACTAAGAAAGAATCAGAAACCATATTTTTATAATCGATTCATTCTATATAATTAAAATCGAAATATCTAATTCTCTATTCTCAGACAACTCGTCGTACTATAATCGGTCAATCTCATGTTCTTTCTACCTCAAATAATGTCCTTGCTCAATCAAAAATGTAGGAATAAAAATCTCTTATGTCATTGTTTTTTGCTTTCGACAAAAACAAAGTCTTTTCCTCTAGAACTCCAAGTAGTACAGTCGGAAGTCGTACACAAACTCCAAATTCCAATGATATTAAAGTATATAGAAATAATATTAATTTATAATAAAAATGTTTTTTTTTTCTCTTTCGTTTGTTTCATAGGAGAATAAATCTATTCGTGCACCAACTAAACGTACAACACGTTTTACAAAACCAACAACACGTCCACCATGTACAGATATGAGTATAACAACACCTATAGCACCAACTGAATCACCAAATAAAATGACAACACGATCACAAGTAAGATCAAATAATACAAGTTTAAATTATGGTGTTGATAATGAATTAATTAATAAACGTGATCGACAACGAAAAAGTCAATCAACTCATCATCGTACACTTGGTTTGTTTATTTATTTATTTATTTATTTATTTTATTTTAATTTTTCTTAAAGAAATTGTTGAAAATATTATCAATGTATTTAAATTACTTGGTCAAGGTTTACAACATTTATCTCAATTTGAATGTCGACAAGCAATTGAAATATTTGAATCAATTTCATTAAAACATCTTGATACACCATGGGTTTTATCACATTTAGCTAATTGTTATTATCATTTACATGATTATCAAAAATCTTCACTTATCTATCGAGAATTACGTACTAAATTTCCATATCATATTGATGGTTTAGAATATTATAGTACAGTTCTTTGGCATTTAAAAGATGATATTGCATTAGCAACATTAGCACATGAATTAACGGAAACCGATCGAAAACATCCAGCTGTAAGTATGATTTATTTAATAATTTAGACAAGATGAGACAAAAAAAAAAGAAAAAATTTTCTTGAATGTTTTGTTCTTTTTTTTCTTAATTTGTTTATTCACCTAAATATCTGTTGGAGGATGAAGATTTCCATCATCTGTTTCATGATAATTATCATCTATTACATTACGTATGTCTAACATTTGTGGTATAACAGGTTCATTTTTATTTAATTGAAATTTTTTCATTGATTCATATAACCATAAACGAATTTCTGGTCGAAAAAGAAAAAATAATAATCCAATTAATATTTTATCTATTATTGAAATAAAATCACGTAAATTCATTAATAAAAGTACTGTTTCAGCAGATTGATCTATGGTATATTTTATTTCATTATCATTAATACCAATAAGATCATCAAATAATGTACTTATTAAAAGATTAATACAAGATGAATAACTAATTATTAATATAATTCTATTCATTGGAATTAATGTTGAATAAGATATTGTTGTTTTTCGAATAAGAAATATACTAAGTAAAATACATGATGACCATACAAATGGATGACCAAAACCATAATAAATCCATTTTAAATATTTTCTATAAGATCCAATTTGTGTTGGAGTACATAAACCATTCATAGATGTAAATGATGATTGACTAAATGTATATATTGGAATAGTTAATGAAAGAATAATACTTATTAATGACATAGTTATAAGAAAAAGATGAGCTCGTTGAATAAGTTTATTATTTAAATTTGTTGGATGTTTTTTTAAATTAGCTAGAATACGTTCGAAAGCCAAGAGTAAAACATGTGTATAAATAAGAATTGAACCAGTATCACGAAGATACATTGATGATGAACATATACGACTTGATGCTGCATCATGTGTCCATCGTAAAAGTATTAAAAACATAAGACCATGTAAATTAATTAATGCTCCTATACAAATAACCGTCAAAAGTACATTAGATAAATATTGACGAAAAATTTTTGCCAGAAGTATTGAATAAATTGATAAAAAATTTAATAAAATCGCACATACATATAATGGAAATATAAATAATAAATAATTCGTTACAGATTTATCAATTTCCGATGCTTTATTTGGATTATCTGTTGATACAGGACTTGTTGTTGACAATATTTCATCATAAGTTGGTGTAGTAGTTGCCATCTTTTTTTTCTTTTTGTTTTACACGTATGAAATCAAGAGAAAAACCTAACAAATGAATCAATGATAATTTTTTAAACCTATGCTCGATCGAAAAGAATAGATCAAATTTCATTATTTTGAAACAGAAAAAAGAAAAGATATCTAATCATCTTGTCTTTGTTTATTTGAAGTATACATTTTTTTTCCCTTTTTGAAAGATCAAATTTCCAAATGACGATAGAGAAAAAAAAATTTATTAATAACTTTCTTATGTTTGCTTTATTTTTTTGTTTTATTTTAAATAGAGTTGGTGTGCGTCAGGTAATTGTCTTAGTCTTAATCATGAATATGATAAAGCTATACAAGCATTTAAACGTGCTATTCAATTGGCACCAGAATCTGATTATGCATATACTTTATTGGGAAATGAATATTCACTTATTGATGAACTTGAACGTGCTATGGCATGTTTTCGTAAAGCTATACAATTAAATCCACGAAGTTATAAAGCTTGGTAAAATTATTTTGAAATGGATTAGTTTTTTTTTTTGTTTATGTTGATTTTCTATTGAATAGGAATGGTGTAGCTATGGTGTATTTAAAACAAGAAAAATTTCAATCAGCTGAATTTCATTTTACAAAAGCAACAAATATATTCCGTACGAATCCTGATCTTATTTGTCATTTAGCAGTGGTATATAAAAAAAACAAATGAAAATTATTATTGTTTATTTCTTTATTTGATCTATTTATTAGGCTCAACATAAATGTAATCGATCCGAAAGTGCATTAACATTACTTAATGATGCACTTAAAATTGATTCAAAAAATGCTCTATGTAAATTTCATAAGTAAATAGATTAAATTATAATGATTGAATTTTTCTTAAATGATTAGTTTTTCTGTTGTATAGAGCTGGTCTTTTATTACATCTTGAAAGATATCAAGAAGCATTAATTGAACTTGAAGAACTACGGCAAATCGCACCAAAAGAATCACTTGTTTACTATTTACTTAGTAAAGTAAGTTTAATTAATTAAGAAAAATTATAACATTCAATGCATTGATATAAGGTTCATCGACATTTGAAAAATTTTCACTATTCATATATGTATATGTCATGGAGTATGGATCTTGATCCAAAAGGTATTGAAAACTAAGTTTTTCTTCCATATATATATATATAATTATCTTTTATTAAAGGTGCCAATAATCAATTAAAAGAAAATGCCGATAAATTTTATTCAAAAGATGAAGATCTTTTACTCGGTATGGAAGATATGGCATCATCTGTTACAGAAGATGATAATAGTCAAATGCAATCCCAAAGTTCACTCCAAGATATACAACCAATGGACTCAAGTGAAGAAATTCTTTAACAAAAACAAAATTCTTTTTTGTCTTTTGTGTTTTTATACACATCAATTTTTTTTCCTCTTTTTTTTTGTACATGCGCGAAGAAAAAACCCTAATAAGTGAGTGTCTCTGTGTGTGTGTGTAAAGCCAAACTGCAAAATCAAGTTGCTCAGGTTTGTGCTCATTTCTATTCTTCTTTACATTTTTCCCTATTTATGACACAGTGTGCTTATAAAAAAAACAAAGTCTATCATCGATTGGATTTATCCTTTTCTTCTTTCATCTTTTTTTCTATCTCATTATCAACATGTAGTACGGTTTACTATCTTTATTATACATGCACACACTATTCTGATTTTATATATATAAATAGTGAGAGTGAGTGAAAAAACATATATATTTGAACAAAACAGAAAAATTCTACAGATGGCCAACATTATTAAGACACCTCTTCTTTTTCTTGCCTTTTGTTTATCCTTTTTTTCTCTTCTTTTCTTCTGTCTATTCTTCCATTATCAAACGAATAACGTTAAACAAAAAAAAAAAACGTCAATAAAAAAGAAAATATATACTGCATGCAGAGTAAGATTTGGTTTCGTTCATATGAATAAGATATTTTGTTTGATAAGTTTAATGGACCAAAATCGATTTTTATGATAAATAAATGCGAATCGAATACTTTATAATTTGTTAGTTTTGCTTATAAAACAAATACTAGTTTTGAAATTTATATGAAGAAAAAAAAAGCAGGTTGAAAACGGAAATCCGCCTTAAAAGAAACGAATATAGAAAATCGAAAACTTCGTATTACAACACAAATGTTTACATTATATTCTTCGTGAGCTCTATTTTCAAGAGAACAAAAAAAAGCTATTCAAAATTGATAATTCACATATACTAATCATAGATTACAACAACTATCAAATATCAAATCGATTCCAATACTATTTTTATCCAATTTACGCAAGTTTACTTTTGTTTAATGAAATATTTAAATAGAGTTGCTAGTACGAAATATAGTAATTCGATATCATTATTGTATCATCGAACAAATAAATCAATGTGATATTTAAAATGTAGGATCAAACTCGAATATGATACTTGAGAAGACCAACGAGTTAAAAAAGAAAACTAAAATTTATTCAAAACTGATTATTGTTACAGGCATCGACGACTCATACCATTTTTATTATTTTCGCTTTATTTTCATAAAGAACATTAACAACAAAGTTTCTCATGAAATTATATCATGTTCCTACTTTTATATACAAAAACATACTAAGAACGCTTCTAGGTAAAACAAAATAATATAAATGCAGTTAATATTCCTACTAACGGTAGAAAAATTTTGACTTATTTTGTTTGACTTGGTTCATGGTCATTGTACATTCAATTGATAATATTTATATATATTGGATAATCTTTGGATGCTAATCTTTCAATTAGTATGATGACAGCTTCTCTTCGTTACACAGTGGAGGAAAAATCAGTAGTCTACGATAAAGAAATGTGTTCATCGTTATCAGGTACACTTTTCCTAATATTAACGCTCTAGCGAAATTCAAGCGAAAATGTATTTTTTTGAAAAAAAAGAAACATTCTTTTTCACCATTCCCATTTAGAAAAACAGGAAAGGTTCCGCTGACAATATTGCAGAGCGTGCTCTCTCTATCATAAGCCTAAGTTTCATAAGACACTAATTTTGACTTGACGTGATACATAACTTCAAACGAAGACATCTAAAATCGTGCAAAAAGAGATTGCTAATAACGATGTATTATTAACCTCTTAGATTTCGATGATTCTTGCGTTCTGTTATCGTTAATCAGTTGTGTGCATGTACTAAATGTTTTTAGTTCATGATACATGGATTGATACATCTCTTCAAAGGACAGCTGCTGATCGATAAGACAGAATGAAAAAGATTTTTTGTATTCTGCTCGTCTTCAACCCGAATTAGAAAATTTACGATATCTAACATTTCAAGATGATCTTGGTTCTAAACAAAGGGTATCTGTGACTTTTCATGTCATCAAACATGCTTTTATCAATCTTATACAGTCAAAGAATTGTACTGAAAAACCAACTGACATTTGACCAATAGAAAACATCTAAGGTGTATTAAAAGAAAAATTACGAAGGTACAATTACAATAATATTGAACAATTGAAAAATAACTTTAAAAGAAAAGAATGTAACAAATTTTCATGTTGTTTTATATAAACGAATCGTAGATAAAATACCAACACGATTAAACTGAGTAATAGATCAGGATGGGGTATCACAAATTATCGAGCATTGACAACTTGCTATGTATGTCTTTTTATTTTGAAAAGTTAGATTGTTTTTAAAAAAATCACCAAGATAATAGGGAAAATTGAAAAAATAGTACATAATAACGTTGTTACCAATGCTCATTCATAGTAAAAGCTATAGGCCTCAAAATTTGTAGTTATTAAGCACTGAATAGGCAAAATAATCTGTCCAGACTTTAAAGAGTTTGCTTTTGTTAAATGTGAGAAGGATAAATTTTAAAATCCTTTCGAAACTGCAGAGACACTTCTTATAAGTAACAGTCCTACTAATTGGTTTTGCTAATAATTCATAAATATTAGTATGTTCAGATACATTACGAAATTGAGCGAAACGTTTTTTTTTTAAACTTAGATGACCTAAATTATGCACGAAAAAAATAAAATCAAAACGCGAAAGCAATCTAGGTGATAATTGAATATTTTGAATAATGATTTTGATTTATTTCATTGAGATTCAATCGAATTAGCAGCAGCTAAAATTGATATTCGAGCATCTAATGTACATATAATATTAGCTGTAGCTATTAATATCGTTTGTTGTAATAATGCATCATTTTTTCTCGAATAATCAAAATCAATCCAAAGTATAACATACCATAAATTTGTGAAATATTGATCGAGCACCTTCACTCCTGTTATCAAATTCATCCATACAACAAATGCTATTATCTGCAAGAACTAATATGCACCACTAGAATTTCAAAGCACATGAGAACTTGATTAAAAAAAAACAAAAACATAGGGAAATATTTATCTCACGTTTGAAGAACAAATTTATTAGTTTCACCATCTTTTGTAACATTAGATGTTAAACCAATTACACTTGTACCTTCATCATTAGTATATTGAGCACGTGATATCAAGCGAAAGATGTATTGTCGTAAGTGTGATTTAGCTGTATCACGATCTCCACAAAATAAAATATTAATTTGAGATCGAAAACTTTTTTCGCTCAGCATCAATGAAACGTCTCTTTTTTCGTTCCTCCAAATAATTGTAGTAAAAAATATTTTTTTAAATCTTCATATCTAAAAGTCCTTGAAGCTTCAAACAACAGTAAAAAACCAATTAGACTCTTTTATATGTCTTTAAGCGCGTTCGAGAAGTTCTGAAACGATTTAAAAATTTATCGTTGTTATATTCAACAAAAGCAAACTCTTTGAAATTTTGGCAGATAATTGCACCTATTTAATACTAATTAACTACAAAGTTAAAGGTCTATAACTTTTAATATGGATAAAAGTTTATAAAAACATTATCATTTACTATTTTTTTCAATTTTTCAATAAATTATATTAATAAAATTCGATATGAAATGGAAGTAACAAATATTATTTCCAGAATCTCTTTGATAAACATATGCCAAAAAAGGCAATGCTTTCCTTCATGTGAAACCGTAGCTCTCTATATCATCCCTATCAAAATTTACTCAAAAAAAATATCAACTTGTCCTTTATTTTTGAAATTGACATTAATATCGGACAGTATCCTACACTCTAATTGCTGTTTTAGTGTATTTGATACTATATACTACTTAGGACATACCAAAAGTCTTTACGGAGCTATATTAATTTCTTATAGAATGCTTGAAGAAATTTTCTTTTTTTTATGTAGTGATAGAAAAAACGATGCTCTATTTTTCTATGTTATTTGATCAGTCTTCAACTAATATCATCATACTAAAATTTTGATAAGAACTGTTTTTGTGCAAAACTTAAGTAACGGGTACGATAGATGAACTGTTTCAATCACTTAATACATTGTATTAAAAAAACAAAAATATTTCACAAGATGCAGAGTGAAAAGCTCTACAATTTATAAAGAACAGTTTACTTTATATATGAAATAAGAAAACGGAATTTCTCTTCGCATAATTTTTTCAGGACGATGAAAATTGGTCGCACAGAATTTTGGTTTCTTTGACGAGAAATACACAATGAAAATAAGCTTTACTTTGTAGATTGTAGAGCTTTTCATACTGCATCTTGTGGTATATTGTGTTTTTTAATACAATGTATTAAGTGATTGAAACATTTAATCTGTCACACCCGTTAGTTAAATTTTACACAAAAACAGTTCTTATCAAAATTTTATTATGATGATATTAGTTGAAGATTGATCAAATAGCATAGAAAAATAGAGCATCGTTTTTTCTATCACTACATAAAAAAAAAGAAAATTTCTTCAAGCATTCTATAAGAAATTGATATAGCTCCGTAAAGACTTTTGGTATGCCCTAAGTATTTTATGTTTAAATTCTCCAATTACCGATAAAATATTCACTAATCGTTGTCAAGATTTCATCTATATACGACCGACACAGATAATTTCCACTTAACTAATAAATAAAGATCATTTCCTGATGTCATTTGAATGTAAAAATACTTTTTAGTTATATGAGTTTTGGTCATATTTAAAACTTTACATTTTAAAAATTCTTTCAGCAAAATTTTACTTCTTTTTATAGTTGATTCAAAAAGTGAATTGTACGCAATCATATGCAATATATAAGGGATTTATTTAAAAGAAAATATAAAATAAAGAGAGATTCATCAATTGATTGTAACTGTGAATTTTAATGAATATCATTAAACATTATTAAATAATTGAGAATTTTGATTTTTAGTTGATTGAATATTTTCATAATGAATATTATTTTCATCATAAATTATATCATTTCCTTCATCACTTGATGCTGCACTGTCGTCATCATCACCACCTTCAGTTAATTGATTTCTTAACGAACCAAAGAAAGCCCATAAATTTTTTGATTGATTACGTCGTCGTTTACAACTAAGTACTCGACGATTAAAAAATCTTTCAAATTCATGTTGATGTTCAGCTATATAATCTAAATGTTTTTTTAAACGTACTAATTTCGTTCGATCAATTTTTTCTAATAAATTCATTTCAGGTAAATATGGATGTTTAAGAATTTGTTGATCAACTGAAACATAAAGTAAATCAAATAATGACCAAAATATATCATTACATCGACGACGATTCCAATTTCGATGTACAAGATCTTCATCACATATATAAACCATTAAGGCTTTTATAATATCTTCATTTAATACAGAAAATATTCGATTTAATTTAACTAAAGCAAGAAATATTTTAATTGCTTGAGCATGACGAAAATGATCAGCACGGTGAAGAACTTTTAAACATTTCATTTCAGCTTCAATATATGATATACGCCAGGCTCGTTTTGATTGTAAATAATCATCAAGTATATATGGTTTTGTAACAAAATATGGATCAGTTTTTTTTATTTTAACACCAAATGATAAACATATTGTAAACATTAATTCTTCATGACGAATTCGAATAACTGCACCTTCATGATCGATATCAAGTGGTTCAAGAACAAAAAATTCTATTGGATTTGGATCTTTTAATGCTTCTTCAATAAGTGAATGAACTAATTGAACAAGCACTACTGGTGATAAGTATTGTCTATCTTTTCGTGATCTCATAAACCCCCACGGATCATATCGTGATAATTCTTCATCATTGACAGAACCAGGTATTCTCAAATAAATATATCCAATTTTATCTAAACGTTCTTTTTCTACGGGTCGTATTGTAATTGGTATAAGTATATTAATACGTTGAATATGAACAACTTGTAAATTTTCAAAAAAAGTATCACAAAAAATTGGATCATTAAGAACAATACCATAACGATTTTTTCGTAAACGTGGCACTAAATCATCAAATATAAGACGACAAGCTTTACGAACACGTTGAACATAATCAGGCATTATTTCAACAACTTCATAATAAAAATCTTGTAAAGCTCTTTCAAAATCATTATGATTTGAAAAACGTGATGCACACATTGGTGGTAAAAAGTCTTTATCTTTAAAATTAAAAATAATATAATATTTTTAGTTTTTCATTTCAAATATTCAAATCATATTTCTCACCCCATTTATTTGTTGTACGTAAAAACCGTAGAGCATCATAGGAACTACTTGTTCTTTCGCTTGATCCTTGACGACGTGCTCCTGTTTTTGGTGGTGATGCTGGTGTATTCATATTTATTTTTCAAACAATAGTGAAGCAAATGACTGTGTTGTTCATAGCAAATATATTCAAAATGGGATTAAGACAAGTAGAAAAAAAACAAAATAACTGACGACTAACGAGTAGCGTCATCTGATTTATTTGATTCTTGGATTCGTTTTGTATTTGAACAAATCAGTAATCAAATTTTTTATGTTGCTGACTGATCGCTTGCTCTCCAGCTCTCTCTCTCTCTCCTTTCTCTCTCTCTCTCAGCTGTGATCTGGTCTGATGAATAATAATTGATAAAGTTTAGCACTGAGATAAATAATGTATATCCGACTTTCTTTTTTTTTTTTTGTATTATTATTTATATTCCAATCTACGTGAGTTTTCATATTCTAAATGAATGCTTTTTTCTTGTAGTTTATCACGAATTGTTATTTCCTTTTTAAAAGTCATGATCAATTTTTTTTAAAAATTTTTGCTATGTGTCTACTCATCGTATTATATGATTGTCACTTGTCAGAAACAACGTAAAAAAATATAGAGCAGAGAAAAAAAAAATGTTGACATAGCATTAATATGAAAAAATAAAGAGAACATTGTTCTGTCTATTAGTAAGACATCACTCTTGTTTCCCTTGATTTTCTTTCGTTCTGATGTCAAAAAAAATAAAATGGACTATTCTTTTTCTTTTTTCCAGGTACCTTATAATATTTTCTATCTTATACGCGCATCATTAGCTTCATCAAGTAGAAAAATAACAACAGTGTCCACGTACTATATGTTTTCTTTTTTGTTCTGTTCTGTGTTTTTTTGCATGTAACAGCATCAATATAAAACCCTGGATGGTTGCTGTTGCTCGACCCTCGAGCTGTTCAAGGTTCTATTACATGTTGCTGTCGTCACCCGGATGGCGAGAGGGTTATGCAATTAAGAACAAGAACAAGAACAAGAAGAAGAAGAAGAAGAAAGAGAAGAAGAAAAAAATGAGGAAGAAAAATAACAGAGCATGAAGCAACACAAAAAAAAGACACAGAGAAATTGTAGCTGTCCTCTGTGTGCGTATGCGTGTGCGTGTAAAGAAGAACGAAACATACTAAGTTACTACTAATTGTTTCAGAAAAATGACTGAAGAAAAAACGGCTGTGCGACAGTCGATGAAAAAAGACGTTACATATGGGTATTTATTAGAAAATGCAATTGCAAAAATACAATAGATCATACGTATGTGTGTTTATATATATATATCTTAGTACATATGGAATTCATTAAATTAAAATTAGATACTGCAAAGAAAAAAAACAATACAGTTGAATAAATATGTGAAAAAAAAACATTTATTATAGAAAAATAACTATAAGTGAATAGATTTTCATGATTTTTGAGAGTGCTAATATTTTCTATGCGATAACAATGAGCTTGTGGGCGTATGTTTTTTCTCCGATGAAATTTTGAATTATTAAATAGTGATTGTTAAGCATATATTCTAATCATTTTGATGAAAAAAATATGTTTGTAGAATATAGAAATGAAACAAGAAATCTGTCATAGTAGTTTTAAGTACTATACAAGCATCACACCTTTTTGGATATTTGAGAAAGAAAAAGGAAGGAAATAACGACGACAGTACTTCTCTGGAAGTATGCTCTATCGATCTTCGTCAAACCGACTGCTTTCTCCTTCTTTTTTTTTTCTTCTTTTTAACACTTAAGAGATATGCACGGAATTTGTTTTAAACATCTGCATATATTCTAGGTCTTTCTTTGCTTTTATTTTCTTTCATATGCACACATTCTATCACTCAAAACTAAACTAGACAAAGAGAACAAAAAAAAAAAATACCCGTGCAAGTAAGTACGAAAAGAGAAAAAAAGCGGAGAAACTATATTAAGAAGCATTTTATATATTATAGTATGCCTAGATGTTTGTTCTTATTTATATTGACTTCCTTTTTCGATTCTTGTTATAGATATAGATATATACGTGTAAATAGATATCCTTCACTGACATCATGACTAAAAACCTTGATATAAAGGTAAAAAATTTTATTTAATTCTGTTTTTTTTTGTTTTTGTTATCTGTCTCATTTTTTTTTCTTGTATAGACATTGTGAATTTCGATCGACATATTGTCGTCGTTGTTTTTCATGGCTATGGTTCTACAAGCAAATCTTATGACAAACGGCAATAGCAGCACGGTTCCAATGGATAAATGTGAACCGCTGCATCATAAATCTTGTTCATCAACATCATCATCATCATCACCACCACGTTCAGCATCACCAATAAATAATAAAGAAGATAGTTTTCGTCGAATGATATTTGAAAAAATCGAAGAAGCAAAACGTGATACTGATCCAAAAAAATGTCAACAAGTATTAGATGATTTAATGAAAATGTTAAAACATCTTACAGCTGATGTTAATAATTATAATTTAGCATTTCGTGAAACACGACCACCTTTCTATATGCAAGTAAGAAGAAAGATTTAATAAAAAAAAAAAAAACAAATTAATAAATAAAATCAATACATATATATATATTTCTCTTTATTAAGGAGTTTCAACGTTTAACAGATCGTATTGATATATTAACAAAAGCTCGTGATACATTAACAGAATATCTTCATGAAGTTGAAGATCAAAATATTGAAAGTGTATTTTCATATTCGTCGCCCATAAATGAATCATCATCAATAAATGGTCAATTCCAATATTCACCATCAGAAAAATCTCCTCAACAACATAAATTATCAACATCATCGATGCAAACAAATTCAAAAGATATACATGTAAATGATTATTCAACATCAAATGATCAACAAAAAAATTATCATGTTTACCCATCATCACCTCCAATATCAACATATGTTTTATCACAACCAACAAATTATTTTAATCAACGATCTCGTAGTCCAAGTATGACACCAAGTAATTTTATTCGTGTTCATTTTCCAAATAAACATACAACAGCTGTAAGTAAATTCATTTTAATTTTTTGTATTAATATCTATATTTAAGCTTGCACCACGTAATGATGAAACACTTGAAGTAGCGCTTGAATCACGGGCGTCACGACATTCAGTTACTAATTTAAGAGAATATACGCCAGTTTATATGATATCAAGGTAATTTCTTTTAAATATTTAATGCAAAAAGAATATTTTCTCATTAAAAGGCAACCATGTCCATGGGATATAACCCTTGATCGTGTTCTTGAAACAGAAATTGAACTTGAAGAAAAAACAAAACTTGATCATTCATTTGTAAGTATTAAGTTAGAAAGTTAATTAGATAGAAAAAGAAAATATTTTCATAGATTCGAAAAACATTTTTTACATTAACTTATTGTGACGCATGTCATAAATTATTATTCCAAGGACTTCGATGCCTTGTATGCGGTTATCGTATACATGCTCGATGTGTTCGTAAATCTCATTTATGTCGTTTTGAACCACGAGATATATTTTATAGGTATTTTTCTCTAAATATGTCGCTTTTTTTCTTTTTCTTTTTTTGTGCTTTTATTATTGTTAAAGCTTTTGATGTATGTGTATGTTAAATATCTCTAGGAAAATATCCCAACACCTCGCTTTCATGTTTTTGGTGTTCGTTGTGTTGTCTGTCATCAACGTATTCGTGGAACTCATAAACGTTGTGTTTCATGTCGAAATAATTATCATAATTATTGTTATATGAAAGCACCTATTTGTTCTCATCCTATTCTTCAGTATGTGTTCTTTATATCACATTCAAAAACAAAAATTTTACTTATTTAATGTTTTGCTTTTTTTTTTTTAATAGACATATTAAACATCCTGGTTCAAATCGATTCGATACAGAACGAATAACAGCAAAAAGTAAAGAATCATCACGTAGTCTACCTCGTTATCCATTACCAGTATGTAGTTATTTTTCTGATTTTTTTTTTAAATTTCATTTCTAAAATAATCAAAATATTCCTTATAGAGATCAAATATAAATGCAAATCAAGGAGTTGGTAAGCAGTTGCACATATATACACAGTAGTGGCCAAAATTATAAGAAAACACTGCTAATAGTCTTTCCATTTCGTGCTTCCCTTTCTACATATGATCCATTCGACTGATATTCAGTCTTATACCTAGATTTTGATGTCCTCTTTCATAATATATGATCATATATTATGAAAGAGGACATCAAAATCTAGGTATAAGACTGAATATCAGTCGAATGGATCATATGTAGAAAGGGAAGCACGAAATGGAAAGACTATTAGCAGTGTTTTCTTATAATTTTGGCCACTACTGTATATATATATTGTATTAGTAAAAGTTGTATTTCTTTTTTTCTCTTCGGTCTATGTTCCATTTTTGGCCGTCTCTGCAGCCGTTACTGCATATGCGGCGTAGGTAGATCAAAATACAAACAATTTATTAGTTTTGATTTGCTTTCATAATAACCTATACATATAAAAATTCTTTATTTATTTTTGGTGTGTATGATGGGTATCATGAAGTTATGAATTGGTTTTTTAATCTGTTAATGTATTTTCATTTCATTCATTTTCTTCTTGAATTCCTATAAGAAAAGAAAATGAGCCCCTTTGTGTTAATATTCGTTGATAGGTTCACAAAAAGATATCAGTCAGGATTCACATGGTATTCCATCAGTAACAACAATATCAAATGTTGGTTACTGTTCGAATGTTATACAATCAACAATGAATATATCATCATCACTATCCTCAAGTTCGTTCTTTCAACAAACATCATCATTGCCATCATCGGCATTACCGATGTATCACATACCTCAGTCGTTACTTAGTAAGACTTATTTAAATCACCGTCGCATCTTATGACACGCTAAGCATTTTTTCTCAGGGCGTGTATTTCTCAGTATATATGTCTTTTTTCTTTTGGTGTATATATGTTGATATATATGCTTATTTGCGCTTTTTCACTGAGTTCTTTTTCTTTAGTCTATCATCACCAATTTTCTTTTTAATTCCCTATTGAATGCATATTTTTTAATTTGATCTATTTTGTAT